TATGTTGAAAGATGTAGCTGTGGATCATGGCATTTTCCAAGATGGCCATGACTATATAGTTAATAATAAATGACAGTTACTGTATATAACTTTTCGCTTCCCCTTGTCCCCCTGAAAAAGAAACTCAGCCATAAAAAAGAATGAAATGTTGCTATTTGCAACAACATGAGTAGACTTGAAAGGTATTATGCTAAAGTGAAGTAAGTCACACAGAGAAAGACAAATACTGTATGATATCACTTCTGTATGGAATCTAAAAAAATACAGTAGACTAGTAAATATAACAAAAAAGAAACAGACTTATAGAAAACAAACTAGTGGTTACTAGTGGGGTGAGGGAAGGGGGAGGGACAATATAGAGATAGGGAATTAAGAGGTACAAACTATTATGTATAAATAAATTAAAAAGATATATTGTATAACACAGGAATATAGCTAATATTTTATAATAACTATAAGTGGAATATAACCTTTAAAATTGTAAATCACTATATTGTACACTTGTAACTTATAGTATTGTACATCAACTATACTTCAATAAAATTAACAAAAAAATGTTAATGTTTATGTAATGGTGTTATATGAATCTCTAACTGGAAAGCAGTGATAAATGTTATATATGCCAGAGACTTAAGTGAAAATAATTTATATGTAAATGAACCCTTCTTTGATGATATTGATGTTCTAACAATGGCGACTGATTCTGAAGCTGTCAATGGAAGGAACACACAGGGTCTCCAAAAGTCACTTTCCCAAGTATCTTTATCCTGATCTCAAAATTCGATCTAAAATAAGCAATGTACACTTTTTATCCAAGTGAATAAAGTTGAAATAAATAAATATATATATATATCTTGAAAAAAAAATGACAGCAACATTTTCTATGTGCCTAGCACTGTGCCAAGCACATTCCATGATTATTTTGTTTAGTCCCCTGAACCACCCCATGAGGCAGGTCCTGTGAAAGTCTCCTTTCCACAAAGATGGAAACAGGCCTAGAGAGGTTTAGCAGTGGAGGACCGGTCACAGAGCTAGGAAGCAGCACGGCAGGGATCTGAACCTTGGGAGTGTTTCCTGAGCCTCTGGTCTTGGCCACTGTGCTCTGCCCCCCCACCCCTGTGCGTGGAGTACACAGCTGCCTCTGGCTGGGGATTGAGAGCTGATCCTGATAAATTTCTTATTGCCTTTTTGTGTCTTCCCAAGAGCCCACTACCCGTTCTTTGCTGTAGAGCAAGTATTTGAAAAGTCAGACTTCTCCCATTGTTCCTCCTTCATCAGCCTTACACTTAGCCCGAGTTCAGCATTTGCTGATATATTGCTTGCTAACTGACCTCGCACTGCCGGAGGGCAGAGCAAGAATATGGCACAAGCCTGGGTGGGGCCGAGGAAGACCCTCATGAAGTGGAGCCTAACACAGAACGTGGGAACTACACAGGAGGGAGTTTGTGTGTGCTATAATAGTAGGCACCTTGAGAAGCCTAGGCACTCATTTATAATAACTTCTACTCTTACTTTTAGACAGTGTTTTTTTCCTCCATCAAGCATGGTGTCCATTATAGTACATGCTCAATTAGCATTTGGTGAATGCATGAATGAATGAAGGACAGACAGAATGAATGGCTTGTTTATTTGGTTTCTTTGATATAAGGGCCTTTGCTGCTTTTCTGGGTTATATTTGCTTCATCCAGCTCTTCCCCCCTGTGTGCCTGGATTCTCCTCCTTGCCACCTCCTTCTCTCTCTCCCTCTCCCCTGCAAGTCCAGGGAGTGACTGGACAGTTGGTGGCAAGAGATATTCTTTTGGGTGATGTTCCAGATGGTGGAGGTGCTATAGTTTCAGAGTAGAGCCATTCCTTAGGGAAAGTAGGAGTTAAATCCGCCTTCAAGGGACTAAAATTACCATCTATGATATTAATGTAGGAACGTGCATTCTCAGTCCTAAGCAGACTTTGGGGCAAATCACTGGGAACTGCATGTGTTTGAGAAGCTCGTACCATCCACACACCTGCAGTGACATCCTCTCTACATCCGTTCTTATGAATTAACAATGGCTCCTTGACTTTGCTGCCTTGCAGAACATTGGTCTACAAGACATCTGGTCCATGCTAAGGTCCTTGATGTTTACAGGACCATGTAGTCCTGTCTAAAATGACCAAAAGACATTTGGTCCATGCCAAAAGGTCCTTGATACTTGGTCATATTTGGTCCTTTCAGAAATATCCATGGAGACATTTGGTCCATGCCAAAAGGTCCCTGATATTTGGTCTTGCCAAAAATGATTTGGCATGCACAGAAATCAGAGAAGAAGTAAAAGGGATCCAAATTGGAAAAGAAGTAAAGCTATGACTGTCTGCTGATAACATGATACTATACATAGAAAATCCTAAAGATGCTACCAGAAAACAATACTAGAGCTCATCAATGAATTCAGTAAAGTTGTAGGATGCAAAATTAATACACAGAAATCTGTTGCATTTTTATACACTAAAAAATAAAGATCAGAATGAGAAATTAAGAAAACAATCTCATTTATCATCACATCAAAAAGAATGAAATACCTAGGAATAAACTTACCCAAGAAGATGAAAGACCTGTACTCTGAAAACTATTAAGACATTAATGAAAGAAATTGAAGATGACATAAATAGATAGAAAGATATACTGTGTTCTTGGATTAGAAGAATCAATATTGTTAAAATGACTCTCCTACCCAAGGCAATCTACAGATTCAGTGCAATTCCCATCAAAATACCAATGGCCTTTTTCACAGAACTAGAACAAAGAATTTTATGAAAACACAGAAGAACCCAAGAAGGCAAAGCAAACTTAAAAATGAAGCTGAAGGAATCAGTCTGACTTCACACTATATTACAAAGCTACAGTAATTAAAACAGTGTTGTACTGCTGCACACATACACACAAAAACAAGAAATATACATCAATAGAAGAGGGTAGGAAACCCAGAAATAAACCCATTAATCTATGACAAAGGAGGCAAAACTATACAATGGAAAAGAGACCGTTTCTTCAATAAGTGGTGCTGGGAAAACTAGACAGCTACATGTAAAAGAATGAAATTAGAACATTCTCTAACATCTAAAATAAACTCAAAATGGATTAAAGACCTAAATTTAAGAATGAATACTATAAAACTCCCAGAGGAAAACATCGCAGGACACACTTTAACACAAATCACAGCAATATATTTTTGAATCCATCTGCTCCAGAGAACAAAATAAACAACAGAGACCTAATTAAACTTAAAAAGCTTTTGCACAGCAAAGAAAGCTATAAACAAAATGAAAAGACAAACTAGAGAATAGGAGAAAATATTTGCAAATGGTGCAACCAACAAGGGATTAATCTCTAAAACATATAAACAGCTCATGCAGCTCACTATTAAATGAATAACTTTAAAAATGGGCAGAAGATTTCAACAGACACTTCTCCAAAGAAGACATGCAGACGGCCAAAAGCCACATGAAAAGATGCTCAATATCACTAATTATCAGACAAATGAAATCAGAACTATGAAGTATCATCTCACACCAGTCAGAATGGCCATGATCAAAAAGTCTACAAAAAATAAATACTGGAAAGGGTGTGGAGAACAGGGAACCCTAATACACTGTTGGTGGGGATGTAAATTGGTGCAGTCACTATGGAAATCAGTATATAGTTTCCTTAAACTGAAAACAGAGCTACTATATGATGCTGCAATTTCACTTTGGGGTATATATCCAAAGAATACCATAATTCAAAAAGATGCATGCACCCCAGTATTCACTGCATCACTATTCACAATAGCCAAGATGAGGAAGAAATGAAATGTCCATCAACAGAGGAATGGATAAAGAACATGTGGCACATATATACAACAGAATATTACTCAGCCATAAAAAAGAATGAATGAATGCCATTTGCTGGGCTTGCCCAGTGGCACTAGTGGTAAAGAGCCCATCTGCCAATGCAGGAAATGTAAGAGACGTGGGTTTAATCCCTGGGTCTGGAAGATCCCCTGGAAGAGGGCATGGCAACCCATCCCAGTGTTGTTGCCTGGAGAATCCCCAGGGACAGAGAAGCCTGGTGGGCTATAGCCCACAGGGTTGAAAAGAGTTAGACAAGACTGACGCGACTTAGCACACACACACGCAGCAACGTGGAGGGACCTAGAGATTTTCATACTAAGTGAAGTAAACCAAATATATCATAGCATGTGTGAAGTCTAAAAAAAAGATATAAATGAACTTTCAAAGCAGAAGCGACTCACAGCCTTTGAAAACAAACATGATTACCAAAGGGGAAAGGTGGGGGGAGGAGGGATAAATGTAGTTTGGGGTTAACATATACACACTTGAGTTCAGTGGCTTCAGTCGTATCCGGCTCTTTGCAACCCTTTGGACTGTAGCCCACCAGCCTCCTCTGTTTGTGGGATGTTTCAGGTAAGAATACTGGAGTGGGCTGCCACTTCCTGTTCCAGGGGATCTTCCCAACTCAGGGATCAAACCTGCCTCTCCTGCATTTCAGGCAGAGTTTTACTTGCTGAGCCATCAAAGAAACCTCTACATGTACACACTACTACATATAAAATAATCAACAAGGACTACTGTATAGCACAGGGAACTTCACTCAATATTCTGTAATAACCTATATGGGAAAAAAATTTGAAATAGGGTAGATGTATGTATAACTGAATCACTTCATTGTACACCTGAAATATAGCATTGTAAATCAACTATATTCCAATGTAAAATAAAAATTCAATGTTGATGTATGACAGAAACAAACACAACACTGTGGAGCAATAATTCCCCAATTAAAAATAAATAAAATTTAAAAAATCAAATTAAAAAAAAGATGCAGTATTAGGGACACTGCGTTCCTGGTGCCAGCTATAGCTTCCCAGAGTTTTATTTTCCAGTTGGAGCTTTTCACTGATACATCATGCCAGCATCGGGGCAGGCTGTACATTAAGTGGTTTTCCTTTCTGTGTCTTTGGCAGATGTGCCATCCCCACACCAGCGAGCCTCGGCCAGGATGAAACCAATAGAAGAAGGGGTAGAAGACGACGACGAGGTCTTTGAACCTGCATCTTCAAATACACTTAAAGTTCGTCAATGGCCTTGATCCCAAGAGAGGATTCAAGTTACCAAGAGGGAAACGGTCTTGGAGAGATCCTGAAAAATACCAGCACTTTTTCACGGCTTTTAGATTTTTTTCTGCTTTCATACACCCAGCTTGGTAGAGTCTGAGGGTAGGAAAGTGGGGGAGATTCAAAAATGGGAAGGTTACCTTCTCTTTTTACTGGTCAGCTTTTAGTTTCACTGAGCCTTCTGACTAAAACGTGTGCTATTTTTGAGAGAGATATTTTCACAGTGTTTTCTAGATATATTATCACTTAAATTAAAAAAAAAACTTAGTGCTTTGTCATTTCAAATGCCTTCACTTATCTTCCAAGTTGTTGTTCGCTTTCATCAGACAGTTTATCCTCTGCTGTGGCAATGGGGCTGTCCATTTGATTGAGGTGGAGGGAATGTTAAAAAAAAAAAAAAAAAGCAGGGAATCTCAGGCTTTGCTCAATGAATTTTCTGGCTGGAAAATTTTGAAGAAAGATGTGATGTGACTCATGTATGTTTTTTCTCTCAGGCCAGATACATCATATCTCACCTTTGTGGACACTATGGATAGGTTGCTAATGGACAAAGCTTGTCAGACTTGACTCACATTACCCTGATATTACACTGTTTGGAAGCTGGGATGAACCCTACCTAGAAGGTGACAGTGGAAGCAGTTCCGAGCTCAGGGTTACCCTCTGGCTAAACCCGCCCAGCTGTGACGTGGAGCCATCTCGCCCCATGCTCTGCTGTAGGAAGCACATTACTGGGGGACAGGAGGACTGCAGAGTCAAGTGGTCAACAAAGCGTCCCAGAATGACGAGGCCGACAGAGCCACCGCACTCTGGCTACTGCTCTCATGTTCAGATGGTTTCTCCAGGGGCACAGACGGCTCCTTACTGTGTGAGTCAGATACCAGGTGCCAGGGCTGCAAATGGAGACACAGCTGTGAGGCAGACAGCCCGCCACAAGCTCTCCCGGGATAGCCCAGCCTAGAGAGTGCCCCGAGGACCTTGATTCTAGAGCTCTCTTTTCCACCAGTTGCGATTCCAGACACGGTGGTAACTTGGGAAATTTGCTTAAATCATCAAGCAGGTCGGTGTGACTGTGGCCCTTCGCCAGGCCACCCATTTGAGGGAAGCCCCCCGGAACGGCTGTGTTCCATCATGCCCCACTAACTTCATCTTGTGTACTCCAACTCTGAGTTAGACCCATTATGTTAAATAACAAGGAAAGTCGCATATAAAATTATTTTCAGGTGAGCTGAGCCAAAAGCATCTTTTGCCAAGAGGTGATTTCTATGAGAGAAGATATAAAACTCAACTACCCCAGGGTCACTTCATTTTCCTAAACTCATTTTTTAAAGCCAGCTATTTTAGTAATTTCACTTGAGTCAAATTTACATGCTTGATCACTCACTGAGAAAAATTCCACAGACTGGGTATCCAGCTCCTAACACATTCATCAAATGAATAGCTTGTTAACCTCACCATAGAAAGGCTGATTTCACTTTCTGCTGTAGTACTCTCTTCTGTTTGCTAAATTAAGGTTTTATTTTGGGGAAATGAAACAAAGGTGAGTGAATGACTTTACCTTGACTTTAAGACTTAAGATATAGCAGGTTGAACTTTCTCTCAGTGCCTGAATCAAGTGTATGAAGTAATGGTGTTAATACCACTTTAACTATTGAAGTGACGCTATGTAGGCCATTGAGTTTATACATGCATAGGACTAATTTATAAAATCATTCAACAGAGTAATTAGATATTACATCCTTGTCTAAGTAGAAAGCAATTTTAGATTCTACAAAAGCCATGTTTGTAATGTTCTGTGAGTCCACAGAACCTTGAGACTTTCTTACCCTGACCCATTTTCAGACGTGTCTCACTTAGTCACCCTTAGACAGCAGAGAGGAGCATCTCTAACAATCAACCTGGATGTGTTTAGAGGTGAGTTTCTGTCGTGCTGGAAAAGCACACTGTTTAAAAGCACACTGCTAAAATTAGGTGATATGATGTCATCTACTTTTTTAATGTGTTTGTGTCACTGCCATCGATAATGAAGGTTATAATCTCAAGATTAGGAATCTTCAAAAGCCACTTATCTTGAATAGGAAACATAAAACTATCTGTAAATACATCCCTCTAAGGATGACAGCGAAGGAGCCAAAGCCGTTGAGTGGTCCTCCCATTAGACTTGATAGCAAAGAAGCAGATAAGAAAACATAAAAGATCTCCTATAGATGATTTTTATAGATTCATGGACGCAAGTGTATCTTTGTGTAACATGTAGATTAAAAAAAAAAAACACATTTGTTGCCAAAGCGACCAATAAAATGCTTCCTGTGTTTTTTGGCCTTCACTAAGCTGTGTGACCAAGGTCCAGAAAATGGCCTATAAAAATTACTCTATTTATCACCCCAAATCCACTGTTGAAATGTAACATCAAGTTCCTTGTATGAAGCTGGAGTCAACATTTATACCAGAATGTATGGCATTTATAATATTCTGCAAGCTCTCATAAATGTTGTGTTTATAAAATAATAGCACAAACCCTATGATGTTTATAGATTTAAATTAGTAATAATGGGTGCTATATAATTATTTTTCTGTTACCTCCTTGGCTCCCTGGGATCTTTTCTGTTTCTCCCTGTGGTTCATTTCACTTTAATCATTTTGTACCTTTGTGCTTTGCTGCCAACAGTGTGCTGTGCCCACTGGGAAACACCACCTTCTGCACATCTGGTTCTCCTTCCACATGCCTGAAGCTTTTCTGATTTTGTAACTTGGAGCTGCCGATTCTTGCTCTCCAGATCCTATCGTGTGACCCCAAAGGCAGAGTCACTTAAATGCTGGAAAAAATATTTAGTAGAGAAAGTTACGTAACTACACTCTTAGCCCTGTCCGTGGTGCACCCAGGTGACGACCTTGCCCTCTGGTGAGGATTTAATGCTAGTGTGTGTGGCATCCAGCCGAGCCCTTGGGCCTGCTGGCTGGTCCAGACCCTGGGGTGCAGCTCCAAGGATTCAGTTACTATTTTTAAAATCTATTTTCCTCGTCATTTGTAAAGCTGCTCTGCAGAAACCGTGGACTCTGCCACGTTTCCCCTCCTTTCCCTCTTTCTTAACCTGGTTTCACAACCTTTTTCTAATTATGCCCAACTAGAGTGATTAGAAATCCCCACCCACTCAATTCCAATTCCCTGGGATGTGATGGGATAGGACTGTGCAGGGAGCTCAAGGTTGTTTCACACAACACATCTCACTGACACTCCGATCATTACAGGACCCCCATGACATATTGTAGGGCAAGTTTAAAAAACCCACTTTAAGCACTATTTACAGATTTTACCAATATACTTACAACCTAGTTTTAAAGTACCTGAGAATTTTGTGACTACTTCGTACAGACATAGTATTTATAGGAATTGCATTCTTTCTGCTTTGAGGTGCCATTTACATGGATATCATTTTACTTTATAATAAATTTACATTTTGTCTGAATAGAGCTTTGTAGTTTAAAATATCTTCATATTTTGTCATTTGATCAAATAAACTTCTTACTTGAAATATGTACACTTTTAAAAAATTTCTCTTATATGTGGCTGGTTTCTCTAATGCCATGCCCAAAGATCCAAGAAAGAACTTCAGAGGTCATGGGAATTGCTCTGGTTTAGGCAATCTGAGCAGACACGCATGAGGCATGCTCCTGGGTTAGCTCCCCTTAGTTTTGAGGGCCTGCTATCTTTCTGCCTTTGGTCATGAAAAGGGTGGGCCACGAGGCAGTGGACAGTCCTGCCTGGATGCAGTGACTGAGAAGCCTCCAGAGTTTCAATGTGAGGATACATTTATTTCAAATTTTTAATCCACTGTATTTGAAACTTCACTTCTAGTTTTCGTAAGGTTCAGCAATACAAGGAATCACATGAAGGGGACGGAACACGTCCCCTGGGTCAACTCTGTGGCGGGCAGTCTTTCTGTTCATAAAAAAACTCACATTTGCTTCCATCACCTGTGCTCCATGTTAAAAAGGGACAGGAAAGCCCATCTCTTGGCCGTTTGTAGTAGGTCCTTGACACCTAATTAACTTGCCCTGATCAGCACCAAGACGAGACCCAGCTGGACCAGGCGTCTTACACCACTAGTTAAAGAATTAATTCTCTTGCCTGATAAGCCATGTCATTCAGGCCTAATGTCTGGCTCTAAGCCCTGACTTTCAAGCTGCCCCATCTTTGGGGCAGCTTTCCCTCACCTAGCCTGTGCTGTGAGACTTAAGAGTTTCCCATGATGCCCACGAGGGGTTTTCTGTGGATGGGTGTGGGTACAACCCAACATGAGCTAAAATTGACAGGACTTGGTTCCAGATTTGTGGGAGCAGAGATGGTGGTGAGAGGGGAGAGTGTCAAAGAGCTCCAGCTGGAGTTGCTGCTGGTTACTCGCTGGTGAGGACCAGGTTTGAGTGGAGAGACCGTTTTCTTCATCCTGAGTTTGAGGGGCCTCTGGGGCAGCAGAGAGGTGTCAAAATCTGGAACTTGGAGGAGGGATTGGGGCTAAGGATACAGATTTCTGAGCTGAAGATGGAACCGTGAACTTGACAGCTTCCCAATATGTGAAAAATTTTCTGTTAAAGGGGGTGTGTGTGATGAATAAATATGAACGAATACACTACACCAATATTTCCTTAATGTGGATAGACCTAGAGATTATCATACTAACTGAAGTCAGAATGAGAAAGACAAATATACGATATTTATATGTAGAGTCTAAAATATACAGATGAAATATACAGACTCACAGACATAGAAAACAAACTGACAGTCACCAAGTGGGAAAAGGGATGGGGACGGTATAAATTAGAAGTCTGGGATTTGCAGATACAAATTACTATACATAAGATAGATTTTAAAAAAAAAACAACAAAAAAACAAGATCCTACTTTAAAAATTTTTTCCTTGCTGTTTACTAAGGGCAGATATATCCCCACTGACCTTCAGGTTCTCCCAGCCTCCTTTGTCATCCTATCACAAGATGATTCCCATCTTCCCAGCTTACAGCTAAGCTTTCTACTTTTCTGCCCCATTTGCCTGGTCCAGCCGCTCAAAACAGGCAGGACCCCACATTGCAGGACCGACCCCGGGCCTGCTCCTGGGGAAGAAGCACCGTGGCTCAGGATTTCACCCGCTGCCTTCTTGCACGACAGACCAGCAGAAGCAAATGTGGCTCGAATGAAGCTAAACTACCTTACAGCTGAGTTAATGAAGCCTC